TATTTCCCAGTTGTTTACCTTCACAGACATAACCGACTGTTTTTGTAACTCATGTGCGTTTTAACGTAAACTTGTGTGTGAATGAGAACTTAGTTTAGTATTCACATGCTGTGACAGCAGCTTTCTGTCCGTGTGCTTTGGATGTGTGCTCTCAGAAAACCTTATATCTGAAGTTTAAGCTCATATGGTTTAAAACGCATGATTTCAGCGGGATAAACATGATAATCAGAACCAAAACAGATGTTTTTAGCAGAGAGTTAAGCCAAATTCAGTTCTAGTTCAGTTTTTAGCGAAAATATATTGTAAAAACCTGATCTATTTCGACCTCACTCAGACCGTCACCACGGTCTTACCTTGAATGACGCCATTCTGATACCCTTCCGAGACCTAATGTAAACAAAGTCAGGTGACTGACCCTGAGTGGTTGGTTCACTATAAAACATCCGGGTGAACAAAGCACTTCCTCTTGCCTGAAACGCCTCAGTTCATCCCGAGTGACAAGAGATGGTGACGGTCATCATTCGGTCTCATAGATCCATAGTTATAGTCATAACTTACGATCTATTTCGACCTCACTCAGACCGTCACCACGGTCTTACCTTGGATGACTAGTACCATCAAGGTCACGAGGGGTGAGAAGCCTCTCCTTCCTCACATCCCTGCTTAGAAGCTGACCGTAGAACTGCAGACCCAAATGAAACTGGTTCTGCCACATTGACCCTGTAATACCGGGCAAAGGTACAAGGTGAACTCCATGAGGCCGCTGCACATATATCTGTAAGTGCCACACCTTTCAGTGCTGCCCATGATGTGGCTAGACTCCTAGTAGAATGAGCCACCAGGTTCCCTGGAACTGGTAAGCTCTGGGTGGAGTACGCTTGTGCAATAGTGTCCACTATCCAGTGTGAGAGACGCTGCTTCGAGATTGGTCGCCCAATACTTTTTTTATCAAAACACAGAAACAACTGATTATGTGACTGCCGCCACCCCTGTGTGCGCTCAATGTATGTGCGGAGTGCTCTTACTGGGCACAGACTAGAAAGGTCAAGACCTGTAGATAAGGAATCTGGGTCAGGTTTAAAGGCTGCAAGTTCAACTGCCTGATTGATTGTGCAAGGATTGAGAATCTTGGGAAGAAAAGCCGGATTCGGCCAGAGAGACACCCCTGAGTAATCCGTTTTCCATCTCAAACAATCGTCACTTACTGACAAAGCATGTAGCTCGCCCACTCTTTTTGCTGAACTGATAGCCAGAAGGAAAACGGTTTTCCTCGATAATGATCTAAGATCAGCCTGGCACAATGGTTCAAATGGGGCTTTAATCAATGACTGTAGAACCAAAGGAAGATCCCAGGATGGTGATCTTAACTTCCTCTCTGGATGGAGGCGTCGTGCACCTTTAAGAAATTGAGACACCAATGTGATGACCCCCGGTGTCCCAGGAAAGAATGTGAGAAGACCGATAATCTGGTGTGTTGGACTTATAATGCGGCCACACGTGCAGCCCGGTCTGGTAATGCTCTAGCCATAATTCTGGCTGCTCTGAGGAAAATTATAAGTCAGGAGGATCGGGACGTTTTAGGTTTGGTGGATGCAGCCCTTGCTACACATGCACAGCTTACTAGGGACCTTGGTGCCTCCATGTCATCGGCAATACTTTCTCGTAGGCAGATCTGGTTAGCATAAACCTCCCTGCCTGACACTATAAGAAGAGAACTGACTTACATGCCAGTTACTCCAGGTCAGGTGTTTCACCCGGATTCTCAAGCAATGCTTGATAAAGCAGAACAAGCGCGTTGTAGAAGAGAGTCAGTGCAGCGCACATTTGGTCGCTCTAGGATAACTAGACAGTCATATCAAGGCGGTCAGCCTCCACAGCCTCCCCACTTTAATCGACCACAATCATGG